AAAAAAAATATTGACATGATTTCCAGCCACTATGCATCTGTGGCCTCCAAGGAATCACGTGAGACACTGTCGGGTCGAGAAACGACCTCATTAGTGCGTTGTGGGGGCTCCAAAACCGGCTAGGTCGACGTACACGCCCAAATGCGGCCGTGTTATGGCAGCCTTGTCCGGGTGGTGTCTGGACGCCGGCGAAGAGCTCGCTTGTGTGGAAGAAACCCAGACGGTTACAGAAAGCGATCTCGTCAGCTATGATGGTTTTATGGAATGCAGCTTCGGAAACTCGCCCTCGTTTTGAATAATTTCAGATTAAGAGTCGGATTTTTGAACCGAAAGATGATAAATTAAATCAGGTTGATAGAAGTTGTTTGAAGGATCAGCAGAGCCGAGGCTGCACGTTGAAATTCAAGAAAACATGATGAATGCTAGAATTCGTATTTCCTCGTTTTCTTTTAAAAATTTTGATTTTAGTTTTGGTGTGGACGACGTCTTCAAGCTGCTATAGCTATCCAAATCATTCCCGGTTATTTACTCCCATTACTGATTCTCAGAAATGAAGTTACTCTCGAGCGAACTGAACGTGGAGGTGTAATACCGCGAATCATCGAGTACGACTTGAATATACTTTCTCCGAACAAATTAATTATTTTTCATTTTCAAAACTTCAGCTTTTTGAATTTTGTGAAAAACACTTAGCAATTTTCCAGCAAAAAAGTCTCCGAGGGATATTTTACAGCTGCTGGCATTTTCCTAACAACAAATAGTATATTTCTCGTTGTGGCTTACTGTTGGCTATTTTATGTTCTTCGTAGAAGGCGACACTCGCATAATAAGGTATGCGGGAAGGATTATTTTGAGCTTGATTAATTGATTATTACAATAAAAAAACCGTACCTAAGTTTCCAAGCTCAGCCCCATCGTGTCCTTTGCTTATCGATTGACAGAGGTGCTCCGTCATGTTTTATTCATGTAGAAAATATAGTACTTAGGAGTGAGGTAAGGTGAGGAGTTGAAGAAGACCTCTTCTGGAAACGTGCAGAACCGCTGCACGGCCGATGTTGTATTCAAATGTCCGCGCGCGGGAAAATAGTTTGAACCGCAAAACCCTCACGCGGTTCGGGCGTGTCCACCTGAAGGTCCCAGTGGGATGCGCCGCGTGCGATGTGTGCGGCGTGACCTAATTTCAACGGCGATAGAATCGGACGTTCCCAAGCTCAACAGTGACATTGAGCAAGGCAAAGCAAACAAGCTTGTTCATTATGAAAAGCGACCATCAAACTCCTATAGCGCTCTCCTACGTTCACGGGCGTCAGTCGGAGTAACCACAGTGCTTCTCAATTCCATTCACCGTAACAGTGCGCCATTGCACCAACTCCCTTGACAGCCAACGGGCTCCTTTATGGGCGGTTGGAGACTTCGTGTGTGTCATGGATGACTTAGCAGCCCTGTATGTGCCTATGGTACACAATTGTGGACTGTTACTGAGAGTAGAAATCAGCGCGACCCAATCTCGAAACCGTTTATCTTGGTCTTAAGATCACCCGATTTGTAACTTGATTCTGTTCGGGAAATGGGCTCCGAGTAAACCGAGCTACCGAAGCAGAGCGCTCGGATTCTACTCTGCATCACATAAGCGGAGTTCACTACTCTGTTGTTGCACTGTTGTCCTTAATATTCAATGAATCCTCCCAGTGTTATCAGAAACTTTAGGTAAAGATTTCAGATGGATGCGAAACGCGTCAAAGACTCATACATGCGAAGAGAGTACCGACTATTTATGATGGCTTCCATTGTAGGTAAGGATACATTGACTACCTTAAAGTTTTTTTTTCAAAAAAAAAAAAATTCCGACTTCCAGTGGCGGTTCAGATTATCTTCCTGTTATTCATCTTTTTCGAAGCGTTTCCAGTTATTCCTTATTCCACAGTCGTCTCATATATTCTTTACAACCCTATCAGGTAACTTTTTTCCGGGTTAGGCTTTCTGTTCTCGAAATCACAGACAGTAGGATTGTAAGAATTGCTGCCTTGCCTGAATAGTTGTGCGCATCTTTCGAAGTTGAGCTGGCCCCCTATGGCTGCTTCAGGGATGGCGGTACTTCTCCCCGATTTCCACGGCAAGCGGCAGTGTTTCGAGGCGCCTACCGTAACCCTCCACTGGGAATTCAAATTTTTCTATTCGTAGCGCGCGACTGCGCGCAATCAGGGACATCCCCAAATTATCGTGAACTCTGGCTTTGATGCTGACGTCAGTTACTGTCCCGTGTAACCCCGTCTCCATTTTCTCAAACATCGTATGCAAAACTCATTTTTTGCGGAACGGTCATAAAGTACCAGACGAGCTGCTGAGAAAATCTGTCCATCAACAAGATCAATTAACTTTTGATTTTGTCGCCCCGACTTGCAATGCTGTTGAGAAGTAAAAGCTCCGGAGATCAGGTTAACATTTGAAAAAGCCGAGAGAAAAACAATTAGTTTCTGAAAAACGAGCATTCGAAGCAATAACCTTTTCTCGGTTTTGTAGTTTCCATTTGTAGTCAATATTTCAGTAATAAAGTATTTGAAGAATAAGTTCACACATGAAAAAATCTAACGAACGTTCTTTGAAGAACAGCCCCACCTTCTTTTTTAAAAGCCTGCAGTCACATGGCAGCAAAATCAACAACAGGTGTAAATCTCAAGTGGATGAATTGCTTATTAAGTTGCTCGTCATTCCATTAAAACATACAAAGGCCATGACTACAAATTTGGATTAGAAATTAGTAGCAGTAGAAGGATTGAAACTGAAGTGCCACCGCCAATTTAAAGAAATAGCGCCCCAGCCCTATGCAAAGGCTAGACCGTTTTCTGATTTTATAGAGTCACAAATGATATCCCAGTGGGCCACGATTCATACCAGACTTAGGAACCACTTCTACCTTGAACTATGCCTTTGAAGAGGTTATAGGCATGGAATATGGGGGTGGGGATGGGGAGGTAGGAGGATGGGGGGGGGGGGTTGCGGCAGGAAGTTGGTATGATGAGTTTGGGTAGTGGTCATCATTACGGTCTCCTGGGCTTCGCAACCTTGGCAATTCGCAAACTAAAAAGGTAATTCACCCATCTGTATTTCATCTTCGGGGATCCCGAGCTCGATTGGAGAGCTCAAAAAGGAAAACAGAATTCCCAAAGATTGCAGAAGTAAAGTGGGAAATTGTTTTCCAATTCCCACGAAACCTCAATCGAAAATCTAAGAAATTCGAAAGGTTTTGGTTTGATAATCATCAGTATGGAGACAAATTGCCGAATAAAAATTACGTGTGAATTTTCGCTGCAAAGTTTCGCAGGCAGTACATAGCACTTGAGTTTACAACGTTAAAAGAAGTAAAGTTTCCCATGAAATAGCAACATGAATTTAAGTAATTTGATTGAAGTTGGAATGATTGTTGCAATTATGAGAACCAAAATTATTAGCCAGAATTCCGGAGTGAAGTTCAAGGGTAACATGCGAAAGCACTTAGCTTCAAGAAGCGTCAAAAATCTCACACTGCACCTCATCCCCATTCAGAATCTTTAACCTTAATCCTTGGGGTGGAGGTGGTGTAGTGGTGAACAATCACACACGCATGACTACGGGTTCGAATCCCGGATCGAAATCCACCTAGGCCAACCAAGCCTTCTATCCCTCCGGGGTCGGTGAATTGGTACCAGACTTGTCTGGGAGGATGAAAGCACTGACTTGCACATCGGCCGGCCACCGCAAGTTATTGTATGGGCCACATACGCATCCAACACGATACCACGATTCCGAATGGAAGCCGAATGCGGGGCGAACCTCTTAGGCGAATTTATCGTACTTTGAAGACGTTATTCTTTATCTTTTCCTCCTTTGTCCCTTATTCCTGTCTCTATTAATCTGACTAGGTCTCAACTCGAATTCTTATGAGATTGCGGAACCTCTTCCCAGTCAAAATCGAGCTGTTCCGTAAAAATTGCGATTCGCCCCTCCTCTAGCAAAAAGATAAGTTCAAAATGAACTAATCATGAATCATTAATGGAATTCTCCACTTATAAATTTATTGGAGGATTTTTCAGCAATCTTTATTCCGGGATCAGCGCCTATCTACTGTGGATTTTCAGCGAAGATCTACGACGTTACGTTTATGTACTTCTTGGAATTAGAAAGCGAACAACAGTCGTTACAGTTGTATCATGTAAAACTAAAAATGCTTCAGAGTAATTTCTTATATAGCAACAAACTTTTTGACTGGTTTTTATGTGAGCTTATTTGTATGTATATAAGACATAGTTTACAGCCTGTGACGTCAGTGAATAGGAGCCCAGTCTCTTACCAAAATTCCGAGAAAAATCGGCTGGGCTAAGGATCAGAAATAAAATACGGGGTACATGTGATAGCATAAACGCCGAAAAATTTGACAAAGTACGACCTCAATGAACAAATACTAATCTAGGCTTCATTTCCACAGACCCTTATTACCCATATCGTTTCCTGTATTTTTTACGGGTGATGCATTTTTTTCGATATGGGGTTATGGAATTGCATGGCCGAAAACGAAGGACCCATTAGAATTCGCAAGATTCTTTTCCGAAAAAAAAAATATCGGGTTCGTATTCTTGGCCGTACAATGATTTCATGCTGGAAATGGATTGCTAGAAAACTCTTTGCAAATATGTCGCCTTGTGCAATGACTGTGAGACATACTGTGAGCTATGCAATTGTTGTTGTTCTCTGTTACTCTCATTCACTCTAATTCAATTCACACAGTATTACTTTAATGAAAATTATATTCACATGTACTTGTAAAAGGTTATTGTAAAATTCCCATTGTCAAGTTCTATGATCCAATGGTCCGATGTAAAACTCGTAAACTGATGTATGTCTGGGATGGCTTCAT